AACACCCACACATACACACACGCACACACGTGCGCATAGTTAGCATCCCTTTGAATTTCTAGATCTTTGGTACTATCCTACCTTCAGCCGCCATTGTTCGAGACCCGTCCATTACCGTTCGTCAGCAGCGCACGCCTGTCCTACTCAAAACCCCGACCAAATGTCTTCACTTATGGAGCCAGATGATTTTTGGACAACACTATTTTGTGTGAAAAAACTGACTTACTCTACAGTCTTTCCATTTTTATCGTACATTAGTTTTTTTTGCTTTTGGAAATCACTCGTTTCTGAAATGTTGTCAAGGCCTCATGCATCTGCCATTCTTAGGCCTCATCAACTCTGCCACCATTTCCAGCCACGACTTCATTTCATCTCCTTTCCTGTTTGTTCATCAGTTTCTTCTTCTCCTGCCAACTTGCGTCAAGTCTAGTCCGATCTTTCTAAATTCTTCATTTCAACGAAGCAGCCTGCCTCCAGGTCCTCCACCCATTCAGAGTATTGGTCATTGGCCCTCGGGGTTCTAGTCAATCAGTTCACTTCTTTTTGGGCTTCCTAAGCCCATTCGACAGCAGTTTCTATCCGCAATGTCATTCTCAACTCTTGTGCATTCCTCTTTCTCCAAACCGTCCACTCGCACTGCCGTCGGTGCAGAGACCTGTTGCGCCGACCACTCATTCATGCCGCGAAAGTCGCCATCAGTCCGAGTTGTGCTGTTCACGAGACTTCGCCAGTTCTTCCATTCACATACCAGTTGGCCCACTTTTGTGCATCCGTCACCAAGCACCACACGACCGGGCATGCGCAGACAGTCGAATACTGTCGCCCTTCATGTATATGTTTCGATCTTGGCATTTGGACCGGAATTTTTTCTTCAACTATCGTCATCAGAGAAAATATTTCCTCGTCCACAAGAGGTTGCACAACCCGGCGCTCCAACCCTATTCGGCCATCATGTAAGGCGCCTTTGAGTCCATATCTAATTTCATACTGTCTCCTATTTCCACCCTCCTTGTCACCTCCCTCCTGCCCCCTTTTTCACACATCTGCTCACATAGGTGTGATGGGAAAGGTTCTATTGTGACCTTCGGGCATCGCTGTCACCCTAGGCCCTCCACCATCCACCCTCTACCATCCCACCCCCCGTCTCGCCACTGGCTTTACGCCAGCCTCCACCGCCGCTTCCGCCGTCTTCGTTACCGCCTCTTTTCTCCTCTTGTTCCCACTCAGCCCAGACTGATTCTTGTCCATTTTTACTTCTTGTTCGTCCGGCCAGGCCGACGCTTGAATCGGTGCTGACATGCCACCTGAGTCTTTCGGCGAAACGCTCCAGTCTCATTTGCCCTCGTCACGAGGACATGCTCCCTTTTTATGCATGAAATCGCATCGGTTCAGCCTCCCTCGACTTGGCGGCTCTTTCTTCTCGTTCCACCTACTTGCGACTCGACAAACAGCTTCGAGTAAACTCCTATTCTCCTTCACTACGATTGGCGATGGTAGCCCAGTTTCCTTCTTGTTCTGCTTCCTTTTCTTCGCCGCCCGCCTCTTTTTCCTCCTTCCCCATCCCCATCCCCTTCCCATTCTCCCTACGGCTGTCTTCGCCATGGTGACCGAGCACAAGGAAGACAAGAGACTGGGATCTTTTAACAAGGACACAAAGCTACTTCATTTCTCTATTTTTCCAGCTGTATCGGCTTCTGCAAATTGCCAACAACACCCCTCCTCCTCTCTTGCCTCTCCTGTTCTTCATCTCTCTCTCTCTCTTTCTCTCTCTCTCCTTCTCTTCACTATTTCCATTTATAGCCTCGTCACGGTCTGCCTGCCAGTCGATCTATTTCTGTCTCGAGCCCACTAGTCCGCCTTATTGCCATGGCGGCCTTAACTCGCCCCGTTTTAACTCTCCTCATATCTGGCCCGCCTATTTCATACTCATTCAACTCGCCTTCTCAAGCCCTGTAGACTCACACGCCGCATACACACACAGCCACAGCCACATCCAACCGACCAGCAGGCAAATCAGGAAGTACTTGTAGCATCGGTTGAGATCACGTCGGTCGCTCCACCACCCGGCCAAGAAGTTGCACCCCGGACTGAACCACTTCTGGTCGCGGCCGTCACAATGTGCTCAGTTTTGAGTGCTAACAACAACAGCAACAACAACCAACAGCTGCGCTATGTTGCCACCCGCCCTCCCACTCATCCAACCATCCATCTATCACTTAGACAACAGCTAAAGCGATTTGGTGCAATGGCGATGTGATCAATGCATAGGGCATTTACCTCAATATTCGTATATTTAATAATATTAAAAATAGACATAATATCCTAAAGTATACATACGCACACACACACACATATATATATATATATACATATATATATATATATATATCAAAGAATAGTGAAATGTAAGGAAACTTTTGATGCAGGCCAGCCTCGATATTCACAACTGCCCCCAACTCTTATAACTTTGCACCTCCATCCCCTTTTCCCCCATCCCCAAACTCTCTCCTCCTCCACCCCTCATGTCACGCTGGACGAGGATTGCATAAACTAATGAATCAGATTTTTTTGGATCACAACTTAACATTGAGCCCTCAGGGCCCGCCGTTTTTGGGCCTCCAGGTGAAACAATATGTGGGAAAATATTAGTATCATCACTAGTCTTATGCTTAGGCCCATGCATACACACCCAGACACAGATACACAAATAAATAAATAAGTAAACCTATTTATTTATTTATTTATTTATTTATATATTTATTTATTTATTTATTAACAAAAGAACTGTGCGCCGACTGTACGCCATCAAGCCACTACCTATCTGTATACTAATAAGCAAATACATGTACTTTCCACGTTTCAGGCTCCTGATTGCCGGGTCGCGCATGAGGCTCTTCTTCACACAAAATTCTGCAAGGCTTCGCACAAATCTATAGACGAAAGTTCCATTTAGCCATTAGCCAAACGGCTTGACCCTCCTTCAGAGCTAGTTTCCAAAAGATTTACGTAAGTTGCCGGATAAACAGTTTATAGCAGTACTCGAAGCATTCGAATTAGACGTAACTAAACCTGTCTAAACGTATTTGAGGCTACTCTGCGCTTAAATGAGGCTAAACGGAACATTTCCTACTCAAAATATTCCTAATAAATATCTCGGTAGTTGGAGCTTGTTAGCAGAGTGAAAGCGTTGAGGCAATTTAATTTATAGATACGAAGAGAAACTGGGTTTCGATGAATCTCCTGAGATAATATTGTTAGAGGGACCTTCATTTTGCATGAAAGTGCATGAAGAAGAGATTCGTTGGTCGATCTCACCAGATGAGGACGGATGAAACTCGTTTTTAA